CTGTGTATTCAACTTGTACCTTGACTTTATCTGTTATTGTTCAGGATATGAGATGAAATTCTCTTGAAGATCCTGTGAAATTCCGTCGCCGCGATTAGGGAGGTTTTGTAGGCCAGAGGGATTTTAAAAAATGAGAAAATGGATATTGCAGAGTTATTTTCTCTGAAGTTCTTGATTTACGGTCACATCAGTTCCCATGGATCCTGCTGATCGTCGTGTACAACATCTTGTTCACCATGTAGTGGGGAGGCTGGGTAAATTAAGGATTTTTCGCACTTTCCCTAGCACCCTATTTAAACAGGGACCAAAGAGTTTGAAAGTAGTTTACATGTACTATTAATATCTTCCTACCCTAACGTATATGGCAATGACGGAATCTCCCTCAACCTTATCATTTTTCTTTGTGCTGATCACCTATATGGAGCAAAAACTTCATATACTTGAATTATCAGGTCATGGCTTTTCCTATTTATTCCACTCTCAGCTTCATACGCATAATCTCTGAGCGCTTCTTTAGCACCTATATATCTTAGGTCGACTAGTCGTTAAATCGCTATAAATTTTACAATATCACTTCACATAATTTCATGACTTCGACACCCCAGATTAATAAGTTCTTTATACAAGTCTCACTCTCTGCTGGCATCATCGAATACAAATATCTTGATGTAGCAGTTTTTAACACAAACTAGGATTATCATGCATTTGGCTAGATTCCGTAGAGAACGGGTATAATTTCAGTCATTGCTTCATGGAGCGTTTGTATTGATTACCGTCAAAGTTTAGTTGCTGAAGTAAGCATTGGTAAGTAGGCTTATGAAAGATAATGTAGCTACTATCCTCCATAAGTATTTAAACATGAATGCAGCGATTAGTAATATCGTGTTTAAAATTCCATAATGGTTGCAAATTCACGTTCTTAAAATTTTTGTGCGACATCAAATGATCAGTGTATATTATACTTCAGGTCAATCATATTTGAGATTCATAAACTATTGATAACGTTTCAAGAGCAGCTGATTTCATAACTGATTGCGTGAAAAGAGACAATGCTCTAGTTTAATTTAGAGAATCCTCGGTTCGAGTTTCAGCAGGAACATTTGTAGAATCCTTTTTGAATGTTTTGTTTTTTGGAAAATCCCTCCATGTTTACATATTTTTGTTATGACATGACGGACTTTTTCTGTTGACATTTTGGTATTTTATTTGATTCCAATTTGAGATTTTATCATTGTATATTGTTATTATTTCTATATTTTGTACTTATATTGAAGTTTTTATGTTTGCTTCTGATCTGTATATATGTTGTTTAAATTTGATCTTTAATATGGCTACAGCCATATTTGGATTGATACTGTGGCGGTTGGATCTAACATCACTTATTCCTTTTAAACTCGGATACTCTTCAGAGTAATTGGGGCTTGGAAAGTGCATCAAAAGTCAGGTATTGATTTGTATTTCTATTTTTAACATAATATAGACCGCTTTCTCCTAGAATTATTGTGTTTTTGACATTGGGTTGGGAGATAGCGCGTTCGACTTGCACTTACTGGAAACCAATTGAACTGCTACGGTAGAAAATCCATCTACAACATTCTCTGGAATATACAAGCAATTTCAGTTTTTAAGTTGTAATGTGTACCATCATGTCGCGCTCACACAGCTTGTCCTAGTTGTTGAACAGATCAATTAAGTTATTCTTCTCAAGTCATTACACTTGCATCTTTTGACCTTGGAAGTTTTTATTACAATATGTGTGTATCATTTATGGCATTTATTATATGTCTAGCATATCTCTGTTCGGCTACAAATAGGTTGTGATGTTTCATCAAATGGAGTTGGTTCACTCATCTTCTGCGCTTTGCTTTTCGCTCCTCATCTTCCTGTCTGTTTGCGTAAACGATCTCATGAAATGAATTTATTCTATCCACCTAGTATTTGGACTTTCATTACTACCGTCACACAAATGGTGTTCACCTAAGAGTAACATACGGAAATTTAATGGAAGATTTGTTTCATAGCAAATTTAATCGTTCACCCTAGTCAAATAACACGCCACTAAATCATCTAAACACAATGAGAGTCAATCGTTCTAGATCCTATCACAATTGACACAACAAATTGAAGATGAAGTTTTAAATTTATAAGTATATATTTATGTAGATGTATTTTATCATATCATATATTTATGTGGACTGAGCTAAAAGCAATATATTCCCGGAGACAGTCAACATGAAATGAAACATCAATGTGATGGTAAAAATAAATTTTCATTCAGAGGAATTTTCTTTAAGCATTGCAACAAACTCTAAAAAAACAAATGAATTCCGAAATAAAAAACAAACGGTTAGTAATAGAAACAATAAAACACGGTCCCAACTACTAACAAAACTAAGTGTCTGCTTAAAAGAGACATTGATCTCTTGGATCGAGTGCAGAGACGAGCAACCAGATGGGTGATAGGGTTGAAAAATAAACCGTACGACGATAGACTCCAGCTCTTGGGATTATTCCCACTGAGCTACAGGAGAATCAGGGGTGACCTGATTATGGCGTACACCATATTAAACACGCCAAACCATCCCAATGTGAGCATCTTACCGATGCATCACCACCACTCCTCTCGAGGCAATCCTCAAAAGATTGCACATCAAAGAGCAAACACTCAGATTCGTGCACACTTTTTCTCATTGCGAGTCGTCGCAACTTGGAATGCTCTCCCAGCCGAGGTAGTTACAGCCCCCTCAGTGGACTGCTTTAAGAAGAGACTTGATAATCACGTACTCACATGCGGACTATCATCTTCCTCTTGGACAAGCTGTGCCTGATGCATATCTTGAGACCTGCTAGTTGTTACCATTGCCATCTCCTCAGATCACTCAATTAATCTATCTCGCCTATTCCTCTCCCTTGCTTACACTTCGGTCCTCTCTCACAATCTTCACTACCAATTAATAAACTAAATTCATCTATATATTACTCAGTTCTGAAATTTTATTCATATTATCATTTTAATTTATCCTTATTACCCTTATTACTCTTCACATTGCAACTAACTGATCTCCGGTTTGGTAATGTGACGGCTGCTAGTATCCAGAAACCCTACTGCCCTGAAACAAACGTTTCATTCAAATCCCGACACATACAAACTCACAAACTGCCAACTGACTAGAGTTAGACAGTCGAGTGGCTAGACCTCCATCCATTGGACACTACCGAACACCTGGAACCGTACCGAAAGAACAAGAATCGAGCGCGAAGAAATCAAACTGGTTTCCACTAGCTCTTGAAAAAATATAGATATTGGATATTGGATGTTGTAGTATCGCATTTCGTATTCAAACGGCTAAGTACCATGGCATTTTAGCTTGAGTGTATTACTACTTCATATTAGAAGGAAGCGCATTTATACATTCTGCCTCTTGAAAAAGATTACAAATCCGTTTGAAAAACGCCAAACAGGAAAAAATAACAACGCTAATCGTTTAAACAAATAGCAGAAATTCAAAATAGAAGAGGTTTTATTATTTAAGATTAATGCTATTGATATCGGTCGTGTGAATTCGTATGGCCTCCAAAATCGCCGGAAATATGCTAGAATGACATGCATTATAAGCAATAATTACAAGTTCATTAGGAAGTTGCTAAAAATTGTAAGGCAATACAAAAATACCCACTGCTTAATTCAGTATTGAATGATGTTAATCGAAGTGACTAACTTTAAATGAATTTTTCTAAACATTGAATATTAATAACCACAAGTAACACATAAACGTTGACTGTTATTAGCCATTGAACAATGAAACTTCTAATCTTTTTTGTAATTTAAAAATCTGATAATAATTGTGAGTATATTAAAACTAATGATATAGATCATTGGTGTTTTAATATTCTATTGAAAGTTTGCAGTCGAATACTTGTATAAAGAGAATGTGATTGGTTTGATAGAAACATTCATTATTATAACCAATTTTACCAGTTGAATGTTTAACTGTACTTTTTGTTTATAACACTTTTTTACGCGCAACTTTCTGCTTGTGTTGCTGCCATTCTTTGCTATAGCTGCTCTTTTAATTTCGCCCACTTTCCTGGTGTAATTTCGGTGTTCTTTCGACACCACGAAATCACCAGCAATTATATTCTTCACCCTAGATTTATTTATCTTCTCAGTGACGGGCTAGTAATTAGTATTCACTGGTGATCATAGTCATTTTCGACTCAGTCACCCCTAAATATTCTACATTGGTTATGCAGGTTTTTCAAACTGTTTACAGAGTGAATTCTGTTTGATGTTCATCAAAGCAGCTCACCTCTTAAATTAGTCAATGAGTAAAGTTGAACTTATTCAGACAGACTAAATAAAAAAGAGAATTTTATATGCTGTCTAACTTTGTGATAATTCACTCAAATTTTCACTGTATTGACTGCTTATAATCTATGTCAGTAAAACTATGATTTATAAGAATATTCATCAATATTTGAACGAATAGTTTGATGAAAATTAGGCGCCAAGTATATAGAAGATATTATTATTTTCAATCAAAGTTGACCTCTTGTCCTGTTCCTAACGGATGTAATGCTATGGCTAACTTATTTTTCAATTTCTTCCAATCAGCCAAAGTTTCAGTTTCGTCAACCTCAGACTCAACTATCTAGTTGTTTCGCCCACATAAACTGTATTTTAGTCCTGATAACTAATCTCATAAACAATATTCTATTGTTCTTCCTTTGAAAGCCTATTTTTAACTTCCACTAGCTCTTATGTTTGTTTCAAATCCTCTACATTTATTTCGATGTTTCTTTATGGTATAGTGGTACGAGCTACTCATAAGTAGTATATGACGTGAGTGTCAACGTAATGTCTGGCAGCAGAAGATGGTGGAAGATCAAGAAAGGAAGAGTTAGAAGAACACAATGGAATTTGTATGAAACGCATGAATAGTGACAATGGATTGATTTTTTGCAACAGGAACAGTCCAGTTCGATATGATGAACTGATATTTGCAAATTAACCGTTTACGATATGGTTTTCTTATTTTACTGAGTAACTCTGTAATTTTCGTTAAATACAATTCGGTTGCCCTCGACTGTGTTCTTCATCACTACAGTATTATTATATTGAAAGTTAAAGATAGGCTTCTAAAGGAAGAACAATTGTTTATGAGATTAGTTATCAGGACTAAAATACAGTTTATGTGGGCGAAACAACTAGATAGTTGAGTCTGAGAACAATAGAACATTGTTTGCGAGATCAATTGTCAGGATTACAATGCAATTTATATGGGTGAAACATTTAAACAGTTTGATTTCGATTATTATTATTACGATTATTATTATTATTAATACCCTGAAATTTCAGTCGTTGAGATTATTTCCAATACAATAACCTATAGTTTTGGCCTAATAATCTGATTCTCAGTCATTGGCTGCTTTTTAATTATCTGAGTCAAAGTGATATTGTCTAGGTATATATCTAGTGTTTTTCTTATTTAATGTCAAACTTTAATGATAATAATAGTCATTCTATGTGTTAGTTAATGCCTAGCGTTCAAAAAAGTGTCAACACCAGAGAAAATCTTCATTTCTTCCGTTACACGAGATAGGAACAGTGATAAATATATTGAATAGGGGTCTATGAGAAAGTAAGTAATGAACGTTTAAACATATCGATTTCTTCTAACCTTCATAGGTAACTTTGCCATCTCCATCTTGATCAGCTTCCGATAGCATTTCTTGAACTTCTGTTTCTAAAACCCACAAAGAGATAAATCGATAAACAAAATCATTTCAATGAAGATGATTGATTTTTAATCTGTTCAGATTTATTCACTTTGAAAATAGATTAGGGTTACAAAGTGTTATTACTTGACTAATAACTAAACGGTGTGTACTATTTTATGATGTAAGAACTGGTACTCATTGGATTGGAGATTTCATCTTGAGTCAAATTTCTGTTTGTATATGCGTTCAATTTATAACTACTTGTCAGAAAGATATTTCATATCGATTTTTTTTTGAAGAATCTCTATCTGCCAACTGACTTCAATCACAGAGGGTTTATTTTTTACTAATTCAATTGTTATAACTAGTTTTTTCATCCATCTCACTTAATGTTGGGGATGTTAGATCCCCAAAACTCGCTTGATAAATGACCCGATTTTGGAATTCACGTTTGCCAGCATGGGCTGATCAGTTGACCTTGAGATTTCAATTCCCACCAGGAAAATCCATGTCTGTGATTGGCTGCTGTGTATTTTAGTGTGCGATTTTTTTGTAACTGTCCCAAGGATGTTTCTATGATGTATAAATAAACGAGAGTTGTATGCTTGATTGTACTGTGATTGCTGGGTGTTTGTAGAATATACTTTCTACGCTTACAAAGTCTTTTTACTCTATTTGAGGATTCAAGGTAGCCTACCTGGACGCTAGTTTATTGTCTCGTTCGCGTTTATCGACTAAGGTAAACTCGTAATAGTAGCCTCAAGCATACTAACTGACGAACCCTACACTTAAGATAGAGCAACTCTAGTGTTGCTGTTTATATTTTCCAATCGGAATAATTTGTAAGCTATTTAAAATTTCTTCAGTTTTATATAAAGTCAGTATTTATTTCTAAGCAACAGAAAGGTCAGTCGTATTATTTGGAGAGTTAGAAAATTGGTAGCCCAAATATGTAAGCTGGTCATGAAGAACATTGCCGGATATTACAACAGACTACTCATGCAAAAGCTGAGTAGTTGATGCAACTTTATGATTAAAATGTAATTGAAATCACAGTAAGTCTATCTATTCAGTGAAATGATTTGTAAGTTTATCCGGTTAATTACGTACTATTTACTAAAAACTACTAATTAAAAGAAGTTATATTTTGATTAAATCAATGTGCATTTTGTAAATACTCAGAATGATTCAAACAACAGAGAATATAGGCAGTGAATATTTTGGTTTGGTTTAGTGACATACTCTAGTTAATTATTGTAATGTGTCAATAACTGAATTTAACATGTTATTACAATTTTGACTTATCGTATAGTATCATAGGAGTTAAAAAATTCTCCAATGCAACACAACATGCACCAACCAAATCACTCTTGATGGAGATGTCTTGGAGGACGTCAACACCTTTACATATCTGGGCAGGATCATCGACAGTCGAGGTGGCAAAGCAAGGGCTGCATTTCTACAGTTGAAAAATATCTGCAACTCTAAACAACTTTCAACCAAATCCAAAATCAGCATTTTCAATACAAATGTCAAGACAGCGCAAAACATGGAGAACTACAAAAGTCATCATCCAGAAGTGTAAGGTTTTTATAAACAATTATCTACGCAAAATACTTCGGATTCGTTGGCCAGACACCATTAGCAACAACTTACTGTGGGAGAGAACAAACCAGATCCCACTAGAAGAGGAAATCAGGAAGAAGCGGTGGAAGTGGATAGGACACATACACTACGAAAAGCACCTAACTGTGTCACAAGACAAGCCCTCACGTGGAACCCTCAAGACAAAAGGAAAAGAGGAAGGCCAAGGAACACATTACGCCGAGAAATAGAGAAAGATATGAGAAGAGTGAACAAACATTTGATAGAACTGGTGACGGAAGCCCAGGACAGAGTTGGTTGGAGAAAACTGGTGGGTGGCCTGTGCTCCATTGGGGGTAACAGGCGTAAGTAAGTAAGTAAGTAATGATAAGAGTTATCAGTGACCATTGAAGTTACATATGTTATCTCTAAAACATTCCATTCTTCCAGTGTTTGCCATTTTGAAAAAAATTCATGCTTTTCAAGTTATCTTAGGTTTTTCAAGAATCAATAAAATGAAACATTGACTCTTTAAACTGAATACTTGTTCTCCATGTGAAATAGACGCAAGATCAAATGAGTTTTGAAATATATGTTCTTCATTTGTTTCAAGATAAAATTCACTTGTTGTTATCAATGACTGTATAAGTATAAAATAAATGATTCATTTTCAAAAAATGAAATTCAATCACTGAATAGTAGTTTTAAGTTCTCTGACATAGAATCCTGCGAGGTGTAGGAGTCGTGAATGCGCACTTCCACTGATGAGTCCCATACCAGAATGAGACGGCTGTCCAGTGCTTCCAGGTTTTTCATGGTAGTTTAACAATGATTGATTAATGATTTCAAATGTGTAAAGCAACACTAATCTCTGTATCTCTAACTGAAAATCTCTTAATTGTTAGACTTTAAATTATTATTTTAAATAATTAATTTTTTCTCCAGTAAAATTTTACGACATTTTAACTTTTTGTGTAAACCAGATTTTAGTAAGTTTAATAAAGATGAATTACACATTTGAAACCATGAATCGATCAATGTTAGACCACCATTAGAAACCTGGAAGCACTGGACAGCCGTCTCATTCTGGTATGGGACTCGTCAGAAGTGCGCATCCACGACTCCTGCTCCTCGCAGGATTCGAACCCGAGACCTTTGGCATTGTAGGCGAACGCCTTACCATCGGACCACTGGGCCGGCATCCAACGGTGTTAATGTCTAACTCTGATTGATCTAGGGATTTTGCGCGACCTCACCCATTTGTCTTTGGTTGTTACTGCCTACTGCATCCGACAGGGTTGAACTCCATTGGTCAAGTCTTCTCAACTAGAGCTCCGAGAATTTCCTCACGAAGCTAGTGGTCACTAGTGAGCACTGTTATGATATTTTTGGGGCACAGTTTTGGATGATTTCAAATGTGTAAAGACGCAAACCTCCAAAACTGTGCCCCAAAAGATGAATTAGTTAAAAGATAGTTATGTATTTCAGTGGATATCACCATTGGTGGTATCACCATTAGTGATCTCATTTTTCTATTCAACCAACCATATACAGTAATGTTTTCGGAATTATGAACTTAAAGTTTTATTTTTTAATTACAAACTTTCCAAGAGCTGATGAAATTTATCTTTAGTCAGTTAGTTTTTGAAAATAAATAAACAAGATGTTGTACTGTTTAAAATCATTGTCTTCGAAGCATTGCTCGTGTATCATGTGACAGCCGAGTAAGCAATGCTGTCGTTAGGAAACGATTTATAGGTAGGGATGACAGATCAGTAGATGAAGTGTTGAAACTTCATCAGTTGAGGTGGTTGGGACATGTGTTACATATGGCTAACCACCGACTGCCTCGTCGAGCTATGTTTTAAGGTGTAAGAGTAGGTTAGAAGAAAGCTGGAGGCGGCCAGACCAGAATATGGCAGAAATGCGTGAAGTCACCGACAGGTGGACTAAGTCATGTTGGTAGATGCAGAACTACCTGGTTGGGCTTCACGGTACAATAGTAACCGATAGTTAGAGACATGGCTCAAAACCGTTTGCAATGGCGCATGTGCGTACATTCTTTGTGTTCTCTCAAATCCTAACTTTCTGAATTCCTCGTTACCTTTATCTTTTTCTTTTAAGTTTCTCTCATCAGATTCCATTTCTTGAATAATATCTTCTGAAACCCTAATCTCTCCGATTACTGCTAATATTTCAACTACCTTTACTACTATTGGATTTGAATTGACAATTACATCTCTGTGCTAATGTGCTAATGGCCACTTGAACTGTCAGTCAGTCAGTCGGTTGCAACGTAGAACTTCGTACGTATGTACATAAGTTCATGTTGCCATACCACATTATTAGCACAGAGACGCAAATGTCAAATCAAATCCCATAGTGATAAAGATGGTAGAGGTATTAATGTTATAATAAAGAAGACTGTTGTACGTACGTACGTACGTACGAAGTTCTAGTTTCTGTTGATGATGATTGTTTAAAATGGTTAGTTATTTTACATTTAATTATGAATAAAATTGTTGTCTAGATATTTTTGTTAAGTTTTAGATAACACTCTAAAACTAATAACAACAGTTATGTGATGGTCGTCTATTTAACAATGAATCTATCATTATATGTTCAATCAATTCAACATAACAAACGAATTATTTTTATAACACTATGAATGTCACAGTGAATCATTTCAAAAATGCAGATTATCATTGCACTGCACATATTATTTTACTACAAATGAAGCGAATATGTAAAGTTCATTGGTTACACAAACCTACCTGAACAATTATGTCCAACCCGAGTCATTACTTGACGTAATTCTGACGCCGTTATGTAACCATCATTATCCTGTTAATGTGAAAATAAAACACATTCACTGTTTATAATTTAATTTAAAGGATTGAATCTTCTCATTGTTAGTACTGAAAACTAACAGTTATATTGTGATGCGCGCTACTTATAAATAGTATATGACGTGAGTATAAACGTAATGTCTGGCATCAGAAGATGACGGAAGATCAAGAAAGGAAGAGTGGGAACACAATGGGATTTGTATGAAATGCATGAACAGTGAAATGTCAGACAATGGATTGATGATGGATTGAAGATTTGCAAATTAACCGTTTACGATATGGTTTTTTCTATTTTACTGAGTAACTCTGTAATTTGCGATAAATACAATTCGGTTGCCCTCACCTGTGTTATCATTCACTACAATATATCTCTTTAAACACTTGTGATTCATAAATGTACTACTTTGTTACTGTCATTATCCACATACGATTTGTAAGCAAAGACGGATAGTAGTTGTCAGTAAAATCTAGGACGCTCATTCTATTCTATTTGAAACCAATTAGCTGGATAGAACGTTATTAGAAGTAGAGGAATGATCTTCAGTATCAAAAAATAAGTGTACCAACAGGCAAGATAAGTAGAAATCTAACTCAGTATAGTATTTTTAAATAGCCCATACTTAACATTCACTAGTTTTTAAACTGGATCTCTATCTTTGTTTGATCATTGTTCACTTATTTTCAGCATAATTCCTCATCTGGTTATTTCTAAGTGAGTGTATCATATGACCAGGTAATGTCAGAAGTTGTCCAACTTAATCAACTGATTTTGCTTCGGTGAAACTAGTTTATTACCGGTGAACTTGAGAAGTAACTAAGTGACTTTGCAGTTTTTATATGCATTTTCGAATAACAAGTAGATGACCGTTACAATCAAGAATCTCTCGACAAGAAATTCATGAAAATGAAATGTATATGATAGTTTTTAGTGACTTTTCACTTAACTAACGGTCTATAATGGATTTTCTCTTTAGAAAGACTCTATTATTCAAAAAAAGCAGTTTGTATTTAGAAATGTTACTTGGTTATAAATAATATTAGAGATTGATTTTCACTGACTGATATGCCTAAGACTATTACGGGTTCACCTTACTCATTAAACGGAACAAAGATTAATGATTCAGTGACGCCATAGGCTAATCTAATCCGATTGTCCCAGGCCCCACTAACTAAAGGAACAAGTTTTCATAAGACGTAGAGAAATGTATTCCGCAAGCACCCAGAAAGTACGAAGTAAACAGACACACAACTCAAGCTTATTTATGCAATGATAAAACGCCCTTGGTGAGAGCCACAAAATAGCCCCTACTAAAATAATCCATCAACCAATGACAGTTAAGGATTTCCTGAGTGAGAAATGCAAGCCGAAGGTCAAAATGAGCGTCTTTGGCACGAAAACATGAAGTTCAAAATTTCAAAATGAAATGCCAAAATCAGGACCTTTCCCAAGTGAGTTCTGCGGATCTAACATCCGGAACAATGACTTACTGAAATCATAATAAAATATACTATCGTGATGAAAGTATACCTGAAATTTTAGACGGTCTTAAAAAACGTCTTTAAACATAATTGTACCTTATTTTGGGGCAGAGTTTTTGAGGTTTGTGTTTTTACACATTTGAAATCATCAATCAATCATTGTTAGACAGACGACCATTAGAAACCTGGGCGCACTGAAAGACGGCCATTTCGTCCTGGTATGGTATTCATCAGCAGTGCGCATCCACGACTCCTTCACCTCGCAGGATTCGAACCCGGGACCTTCGGCACTGTGCGCGAACGCCTAACCATTGGACCACTGGGCCGGCGAGGAGCAGGAGTCATGGATGCGCACTGCTGATGATTCTCATACCAGGACAAAACGGCTGTCCAGTGCTTCCAGGTTTCTGATAGTGGTCTAACAATGATTGAATGATGATTTCAAATAATTGTACCTGTCAGTTAATGCATAAACTATGATATTATATAGTAAGAAGTTTACTTTCAAAGACAGAAAAAGAAACTCACTTATATAAAATCATATTCTAATTAGTAATTGTTTGAAGCGTAAAGCTTATTCATGTGAATTTCCTTTTACATCATAAAATTTTCAATGTTCAATGGAATAAAAGATTTTCTCTTGTTTATATATTCTAGGGAATTCGAATCTTCAGTTAGAAAGCCTTTTACAAAGCTAATTCCAAAAATCAGTGTCGATTGGTGTGATTACCATCTTGATTTTGATTAATTCATAGGTGCATTACGGGGTTGTGAAGATTGTTAAGTTACACATTTTTGAAACCATGAATCGATCAATGTTAGACCATCATTAGAAACCTGGAAGCACTGGACGGCCGTTTCGTCCTGGTATGGGACTCCTCAGCAGTGCGCATCCACGACTCCTGCACCCCGCAGGATTCGAACCCAGGACCTTCGGTGTTGTGCGCGAACGCCCTAACCGTTAGACCACTGAGCCGGCATCCAACGGTGTTAATGTCTAACTTGATCATATTCACGGGTGCAGGAGTCGTGGATGCGCACTGCTGAGGAGTCCCATACCACATGACGAAACGGCCATCCAGTGCTTCCAGGTTTCTAATGGTGGTCTAACATTGATCAATTCATGGTTTCAAAAATTTGTAATTTAATAGGTGCCATGTAGTTTTAACATATTTTTTGAACCTACATTTAAATTTGTAGTATCCTAACTTATTCTACTTCAAATTAAAGTACAATAATAATGATTTACCGTATCGAATACTTCAAATGCTTCACGTGTTGCTGAAACTTCTTCATGTGCATCACTTTCATTGGATAAAAGACGAACAAATTCATCAAAAGCCATTTCACCATCACCTATATGAGTAAATGAAAACAAAATATATAGTTTCCCTGTATGTAAGCGATTAAAATCTAGAAAACGAAAGTAAAATGTAGTTACACAGATGTACATGTACATGTTATAAATTGTATTTTAATTTTCATCTAAGTAAGTGTTTGGAGTCGACACGTTGTTGAAATCGGAAATGAAACATAGATTTTAAATCCCATCCTTTTTTTTTTAGCTAAGCACATATTTCTGTCAATAAGGTAATTCAGAGATGTACATGAGTTTTTAGCTTTATACTTTCTGTACAGTCTTGATTGTCTTCTTCATGTGCATAACTGCTTGATCAATGAATTCAATCAATGAAACTATATATTTCTTTTTGTCATGTTTATTTACAATTTTCAAAATACCGCCGTATAAGTTCAATTGAATTAGTCAATTTAAACAACAAATAAACGTTTACTTACCATTCATATCTGCTTTATTCATTAATAATTTAATTTGATTATCTGTATATTCCGAACTGACAAGACGTATTAATGTACTAAATTCTTGTCTGCTCACTGTACCATCATTATCTCGATCGATAAATCGAAATATTTCTCGTAATTCTGTAAAATAACGATAATCACAGTGATCATCATCATCATCATAAATTAAGTTTTATGTGGATGTATTAGTTGAAGAAAAAGAAACTGATTTATTTATCGAGCTAAGATAGCACTCAAAATATAATTAGATTTAACAGTTCAGTAGACTGGATTTACAGCTCAAGTAAATTTGTAATGTGTCATTAAGGATAAACGGTCTACTTTCAAAACTGTTGTATTAAATCAATCATAACTAACTAACTAACCGAAATTTCAAGAATCTATCATAAAGCAATTCCCTAATGTTTAGCTAATATTTTTTTCATGACGTCATTAGATTTATTGTTATGTTAGGTAGTAAAGTTATGCTATCATCAGTAGTGTAATTTACAAATTAGCATTTACTATTCATCAAACAACTGTTAGAAACCTGGAAGCACTGGAGGGTCATTTCGTCCTGGTATGGGACTCATCAGTATTGAGCATCGATGACTCCTGCTACTCGCAGGATTCGAACCCAGGATCTTCGGTCTTTCGCATGAAAGCCTAACCTTTGGACAACATTTTTATATATTTTCATGTGTACAGCAAAAATTGTAACAAAAGTTTGTTATTAATAGGAAACAATGGAATTTTATTATCTGTTGACATTTACAATGAATTCGATTGATTCTAGGTTCGAGACCTTGTTAATATATTTAAATTAAGCTGGTTCATACACTGAACTGATTAATTAAGAGATGAATCATACATTATGAACAGTATGCTACTGGATGGTTTACTGCAAAAAAAACTAAGTCGACATATTTATCTATTTAATTTTGTCCATTTATTGATGTTCAGTATAAGTTCAACTTAAAAAACACACAGATTCACATCATCATCATCATCAACATTAAGAGCAACGTAGAACTTTGCACACAAGTACTAATGTCTGGCAGTAGAAGATGGGGAAAGATCAAGAAAGGAAGAGTTAGAAAACAATGGAATTTGTATGAAATGCATGAATAGTGACAATGGATTGATGTTTGGCAACAGGAACAGTCCGGTTCGATAGGATGAACTGCTCTTTTGCAAATGAACAATTTACGATATGGTTTTCCTATTTTATTGAGTAACTCTGTGATTTTCGTCAATACAATCCGGTTGCCCGCCACCTGTGTTCTCGTTCACTACAGCGGAAGTATTAGAAGTAATCGGAAGAGATTAGGATTCGAAGATATTATTCATGAGATATAATGCAGTCAGGTAAATTTAGAAAGAGAAAGATACAGCTGATGAGGAATTCAGAAGTTAGGATTTGAGAGAACACAAAGAGTAAATGCACCGGCGCCATTGCAAACGAATTTCAGCCATGTCAGTCAGGGTCTCTAACTATCGATTATTATCATCTCGCGGACCCCAACCAGGTAGTCGACACCTACCGACATGACTAAGTCCCCTTGTCAATGACTTCATGGATTTCTGCCACGTTTTGGTCGGACCGCCTCTAGCTTTCGTCCAACCTACTCCTACACCTGATTTGGGTAGTCAGAAGACTCTGCATTTTGTCAGTGTCTTCACCAAGTGGAACTATGTCATCGGCATATTCTAAGTCACTATTCGAGCCTCCTGGTAGAAGGCCTACTCTTGAAAATTCAGACGAAGATAATGTTATATCTAGCAACATGTCGATGACGAAATTGAACAAGAATGGGGAAAGTAGACATCCCTGACGGACACCACTTGAAGTAAAGAATTCCGATAACAGTTCGCTATAACTTCTCACTTGACCTGCAGCGTTCACATATTGGATTATATATATATATATTTCTGTTTGTGGCAGAGAACAAACCAACTTCTAGCTCGAGAGGAAACGAGTACAAAAGAAACTGAAGTTGGATAGAAAACATATAACGGAAATGATCGAATCGCACCACAAATTAAGCTTTAGCCCAGGACAGCGATAGTTTTAGATTGTTGATCAGCTGTTCGTTGAATCGCGAGCGGTAACAGGTTTTTATGTAAGTAAGTAAATAACTTATCTAGCATATGGTAACTATTTATTTGGGCACTTTATGTGACACTGGGAATAATAATATCAAAGTCCGATGTCATATGAACGGTACAGGTATCCGAGTACCGAAGTGAATATCAACTATGGGGTAGAGGTATATACGGTTGACTAGTCAAACATCAGGTGAGAAGAAGGTTCTGGTTCCACCTGTTAGAAATATTCCATCTTTTTTATATGACAACAGTTCTTAAAAACAATGGTATTCAATGAATATTTACAAAAAATATGCATTCACAGACAATTCCAGATTACTGATATCAGTAGTATAATTGTAGTGAAGGAGAACACATGTGAGGGCAACCGCATTGTATTTAGCGAAAATTACATAGTTACTCAGTAAAATCGGAAAACTATATCGTAAATCGTTCATTTGCAAATTATCAGTTCATCAAATCGACCTGGACTGTTCCTGTTGCCAAACATCAATCCACTGTCACTATTCATGCGTTTCATACAAATTCCATTGTGTTCCCACTCTTCCTTTCTTGATCTTCCCCCATCTTCTGCTGCCAGACATTACGTAGACGCTCACGCTATATACTACTTATAAGTAGCTCACACCACATAATGTTTATCATGTAATTTTGAAGTTGTTTTCACATTATTATTTTGTCAATCGTTTTTAAGTCATCTTTATAACAGCACCTAATCTAACAGATTTTTGTGTCAAATGCAAACGACTCAAAAGATTTGAATATGATCACCAGATTAGTATTTTACAATTTTTTCTATTGATTTAATAGCAATCGTTCATAAAAATACCATGAAATAGTTTAAAAACTAATTACGTCCTGATAAAATAATCAGAAATGAATGAATCTGCATTTAGATCGATGCGGTCGGTAATTTATGATGAGAACGAAGCATTCAACTCATACAGTTGATCAATGCTGCATAAGTTCCGCTCAATTTTCGCCTTTCATGATATGCTTGTTAACACAGAAATTAGTTAGAAATTATAACCTTTGCAGGGTTTTCAGAGTTCATCAATTTTGTCAGTATAGTGTCACTGTGTGCCAACATCATTCGAGTCCTTATTATTCATGTTGTCAGACAAAAAATTACGCTACAATTCAGGTTGAAATACATCTCAGAAAATCTTTTATTTAAATCCACCGCAATGACACCGTAAGGGAATTAACTGCCATAGATATTATTCTGATATAAAAGTTATACTACTGTTAAATGTGAGTAGTATAAAACTATAAAAGCAAATAACTTATCGCTGATTCTTTTTTTTGTCACATGACAATTTTTCTATTAAAATAAAGGAAAAATATGAAGATATTAATTGCTTATTTATTGCTACTAAAAATGGTTTGAAAATTCTTTTTCAAATGAGGAGATTAAAGTTTACTGATACCGTCTTACCAGACTGAAATCATACCTGAGCGACTGGAAATGGTAGATTTTTATCGATTAAGTACAGCGAGCTTGCTAAAGGGAAAAGTGTGTATCTTTGATAAATGACTCACTAAATGATTGGTTAGCAGTAAATGACGTCATGTTTGTCTAGTTCGTAGAGTGTTCTGTCGAGCAATCAGTAAACAAACAGTTTACAAAATATTAAGGCATTTAGCAATGTTAGTAACGAAATCTGAATGAGTACTAGGGTTTTAGGTGGGTTACAAGTTTTTCAAGGCTTAAAATCCGTTTCCCCGCTTTCTTTTTTAATCGAGTAACTTCGTTACGGAATTCCGCCTATCAGAACATAAAAAGAATTCCCTTTATACCCTTTTTATGGATATCATAAGTTCCTTACTGTCATGAAAGTAAAACAATAGAAGAACGATGTAAAGAAGTCATGAAAAGAAATAGTAATGTACATTCTAGTGTTCAGATACGATTATTGTGGAGTGAGTGGTTTATTGTACAAAATACTTTTGAATTAAAGCTCATTGTTTTACGAGTTGTATTAAATTTCCCCCCTTATGAGTAAGCATTGGGTTGTTTTACTTTCCCTTATTGTTGATTCCTATCTATGATGGTAAAAAGAAATATTTCCTACCAGTTTTTTAAGCGTTCTGAACAATATGTGCTAAGCTAATTTTATAATGTTTCTTCTAGAGTATATGATAAAGTAACTGGTTCTTGAATTCTCGTCAAATAACCTGAAGTGATTTATGGTGTTTTACGGACTTCAGTTTTGTAGTTCAGTTACACAGAATTCCATCTATGTCAAATGGAGCAGTCAGTCGAGTATAATCATTGATTGGTTCTTTGCTTAATACATCGTAAAATGTATATGTCTATACGTGTTAAGAAGAAAACTTTAGTTGTTGTTATGTTAATGACTAAGTATGCTTGAGGCTGCTATTACGAGTTTACCTTAGTCGATAAACGCGAACGAGACAATTACCAGCATCCAGGTAGGCTACCTTGAATCCAAACGGTAAAACAGAAATCTTGGTAAGCGCAGAAAGTATATTCTACAAACACTCAGCAATCACACAATACAATCAAGCACACAACTCTCGTTTATTTACACATCATAGAAAGATGTTTTGAACAGTTACAAAAAATAGCACACTAAAATACACAGCAGCCAATCACACAGCCATGGATTTTCCTAGTGAGAAATGAAATCTCAAGGTCAACTGATCAGCCCATGCTGGCAAACGTGAAATCCAAAATCGGGGCATTTATCAAGCGAGTTTTGGGGATCTAACATCCCCAACAATTGTGGTGGTGTTTCATTCTCTGAGCTGGATGTTTTGGTTGTGGAGCCTTCATTGTTCTTCTTGTGAACAATATCGTCAGCGTAAAATTCAGATAGAAGTGAAGTATTCGAATTTCTCCACGTTCTTGTTCTGTTAACCTCTATAGTGACACTTGTTAGCAGAACATACTGACAAAGACACCACCACAATCGTCCACTTGGACAGTAAATTTTCTCCACCATCTCAAAATCATATGAGCATGACACGCTGCTAATTGTTTGAAAATAGGAGAGGATTGAAAACGAT